ATCACCTTTCCAGTACCTGTGGTCCTGTTCTTAGCACCACGGAGTCCACATTGGAAGGTATAAACACTGGATATTAATATTGTTGAGGGCATAAAGCCAGGAGTAAGCTGACTGGAACTCTTCAGTGGTGGAGAAGAAACAGCACAAAGGCACTTGCCATTTTCATAGTTATTAGGGAAAGAAACCTTTTAAGTTTGTCTGGATTGAGTGAACACTCTTCTAAGAGGAGCTTCTGAAGTAAATGCAAAGGAAAAGAGTTGACTATTTTTATAGCATATTTAATATATTTGTATAGAACTATGAGTGTAGTAGGAACCCTCCACCTGCCTCCCACTTTTCTAATCCCCCCCCTTTGCCATAGCCCTAGTACAGCCTCATCCGCATGGGTAATGTGCCTATTGTCAGCCTACCTACCAAAAGATAGTGCTGCTGCTTTCTGAGACAGGTGAGATCAGACTCTCATGCCTGGGGATCCTTTATGAGAGGAATAGCACACACTTAGAACAACATACCACAGTCTAAAAGCATCATTTTGAAAGGTAATAAGCACTTTATTGCAATTATTCATTTAGATAAAGTTTGTATCTTAGGCATTAACCATTTTTAAAGGATCCCCTAATCATCACTTAGGTGAAATTATAAATGACACATTTCTGAGAAATGTTTAGATCCAGTGAACCGTAGCAGGTTTATGGGAGTGATTTCAAGGTAGCCAAATAAACTCTGACTTTTGTTTTGAATGTGGTGGAGTCAGGAGATTATAGATGCGTAGTTCCATTTAAACACTATTGTAAACCTATCTTGCCTATTGTGTGGACACCAAAAGAGACCAATGAGCCTGTTTATTTTCAGAGGTCTAGGAATATGCATCTGTCTGAGTAGATATACAGAACTAATCTATAAATGGTTGGTAGTAATATTTTAGGATACAGTAATTTCAAGAATTATTGAGTGTTTTCAATGTGCCCTGAAATGTTGGCATGTCATTTCAGCGTTCCCATTTGAGTTGCTCTTGTAATATTTTTGCACAAAAAGGACTGAGAAAGACTGCTTTGGTTGAAGAAAAATATAATTTGGTCTTATCTTAATGTCTCCTGTGGAAACACTGGAGGTCAGTTTTGTTGGTATAGTTACTAATTCAGGATATTTAAAACAGTGTTGAACAGCTCACCAGAAATTAAGCAAACTTATATATTTAAAAATTAAAATTCTGTTTTTCCATGTGACTGTTTTGCATATTTTTTCCTTTGTCATAACACTACATTCCTTGTTTTTCCGAAATAATACTTTGAAAGATGAGTATTTAACAATACTCTGTAAGCTGCCTGGGTTTTCCCAGGAAAAGGTTCTAGTGACATAGCTTGTCGTTGTGTATAGTGTGTGGAGCCTGTTGGGATCCCATCAACACACCAGCAAACACTGAGGTGCTCAACTAACGACAATCACAGTAGGAAGTATCCATAGACCAACTTAGCAGGGGCTGAAGGAACTTGTTTCCAACGCAGTTCTCGGGGTTTCTTAAATAAAACGGCTGTGTATTTATTTATATTTGTATCTCTACATTTGGTCTCCTGTATTTAATTTATGGTCAGTTTGGTTTTCCTTGGAGAACTGGCTCTTGTTTGGGGGGCAAGTTGTTACCCCATGCCCCCCCCCCATGACTCTTCAGACAGATAATTGGACACTGTTGTCCATCAGGATGGCCGTGGCAGGTCACCCTGGGCGTCCGTCCCTGCGCTGCCCTCCTGCTCTGAACTATTTAGGAAGACACGGTCAAAGGTAGCTCATTTCAGTTCTGCTCTGTCACCGCTCCACCTTTTCCTGGTGTCACTGGTGCCTTCTGTGTGTCGTGGGCACTTTCCACAGTTTCTTCCCCACAGCCAGAGGCCAGCATGACAGAACCACGGGCACATGTTGATGTTGCCTTTGTTTTGCCCATTTGAGGAAACACTAGCAAAATAGTGTCTTTTAATGGCTGTCATCATTAAAGCCACATACCGAGTCCTTACATACAGTTGGACAATGTATGCACATTGAAAACTCTTTAAAAAGTTGGTTATCTTTCAATCTTCCATAGCCAGTACTATGGAAGTAAAGTGGTACTTGGACATGGGAGGCCTCGCTCGCTCGCTCGCTGTGTGACAATCCTTCCTGCCCACATGAACTGGTATACAGTCCTCCGTTAGCACTCTCATTGTGGCTCGGGAGTCCCATGGGTAGGGTCTAGCTCACAGGGACCCCTTGGAGAACAGTAATTAAAATACAGTCAGACACGAATTGAGTTTAATTATGTAAAAGGTGTTTAACTCTGATGAAGGTAAATTTAAAAAATACCATTTTTAGATATATGCTTATATATATCAGAGAAAACAAACTGTGACATTGCTTTAAAAAATGACATTCAAATGGTTTGTGCTTTGAGTTGGCCTGTACTGGTTCAAGTTTATTGCTGGCAATGGTTTTAAGAATACTACAGAGCTAAAATATAGGAAAAGCTGTTATCTTTAAATTAATGTATAACTAGACAATCATCTTCAAGCAAAAACATTGCCCGAAAGTCCCTTATTAAGCAATGGATGTGTCAGCCAGAGCGACTGGAAATGAAACCATTCTAAAATTATTTTGAAATCTGTTTTGTGGTTTAAGTTGGGGAAAGCTCTAGTATAGCACTTTCATATTCACCTTGTGTAAAGATTGAAGCCCAAAGACAAGTTAAATTAGTGCTGTTTTAAAACCAGTTAGTGCAAAAAATATATAAGTTTTATCCTTGTAAACTTTGTTAAATCAGTTAGTGGTTGTATAAACATGCACCAGATTCTTTGCTGTTCCGTGTGGTTCTTGCTCTGCTGTTCTTGACATTGCTGTCCTTACTGCTTGGTTCTGGGTTTAAATTAAAACAAGAGTAGACGTAGCTCATCATTTCCAGCTCCAAAGGGAGAGATGCATATGGCTAGTAATCCCCACAAAGCAAACATTTAATTGAAATAAATTTATTAAAAAAGACTGGCATTCTTTTAGGCATTATCCTTTTGCCAAAACCCTAAACTCCACAGAAGCATAACAGATAATGAATGGTTTCAGTGGTGCTGTATTAGGTTCCCTGGTTTTCATAAGCTATGTTGGATATACAGTATTGAATAAAATGTGGGTTCTTACTAGCAGCTGAATATTGCTATTTTAATTGAGTTTGATACAGTTGGTTATACTTGATTGTCAAAGTTACCCTTTTAAGAAAGTAAAACTGTGTTACCAGCATGCCTTCCCTCAGGCCTCTTGCTGTATGAGCACAGCTTTACTTCACATCTTCATGTTCTGTGCTCTTCTCCATAGTCTTGTATTCAGAATCTAAACTACAGCAAAAGAGCCAAGCAGTAGCAATGGTTTTCTTTTGTGTTTGTTTTTAATGTCAAAATAATTAGACCCAAACTTTGTTTCCTTCAGTTTTAAAAATAAAGAATACCTCAGTGCTGCTTCTCAGTATCACCTGCTTTATGTGGCACATAACATGTAAGAGTCACATTTGGATTTATAGAAAGACTATTAAATGTTTTTAAATCTGTCAGTAACATTTTCCTCTCTTTATTCAACAGTGGGGCCTAATTGTGTTAGCAGTGTTTACCTTGTAGCTTATGTTTTAATTACCACTCTAAGAAATGATGTCCTGCTGCTACAAGACTGCTTTCTCAGACAGTTACGCTTAGTACTCACACCCTCACCTACTCCTGGGGCTGCACTGCTGGCTGCTTTCTACAGTTCCGCGGGGTTTAACATATAGAAGGTGCAGTGTGGGGCCTAACCATATAGAAAGTGCAGTGTGAGGTCTAACCATATAAAAGTGCAGCATGAGGGTCTAACCATATAGAAAGTGCAGTGTGGAGTCTAACCATATAGAAAGTGCAGTGTGGAGTCTAACCCTATAAAAGTGCAGTGTGAGGGTCTAACCGTATAGAAAGTGCACTGTGGAGTCTAACCATATAGAAAATGCAGTGTGGAGTCTAACCCTATAAAAGTGCAGTGTGAGTGTCTAACCGTATAAAAGTGCAGTGTGAGTGTCTAACCGTATAGAAAGTGCAGTGTGGGGGTCTAACCGTATAAAAGTGCAGTGTGAGGGTCTAACCGTATAAAAGTGCAGTGTGAAGTTCTAACCATATGGAAAGTGCAGTGTGAGGGTCTAACCATATAGAAAGTGCAGTGTGGGGATCTAACCATATAAAACTGCAGTGTGAGGGTCTAACCGTGTAAAAGTGCAGTGTGAGGGTCTAACCATATAGAAAGTGCAGTGTGAGGGCCTAACCGTATAGAAAGTACAGTGTGGGGGTCTAACTTTATAGAAGGTACACTATAGGTCTAACCATATAGAAGATTCAGTGTGGGGACATGACTTAGGATTTCTTTAAAGTGTTTTGTTTTAATTCATGGAAATTGTTTTTTGTCTTGTCCTTCAGTACTACAGTTTTACGGAGTTAGAAAACTCCTTAAAAGCTTGCAGAAAAGACTTCATCAATATTTGCTGTTGCCTAACAATATTTGGAAGAACAGCTAACAACTAAAAGTAACTTTGAACAGTTTTCATTAGAGTGCTAGGTAACTTAGCTAGTTCTTCACAATCTCCTCAAATTACAAATTACATTGTGGACCTTTGTCATTGCTTAGCAAACTGCGTTGTTCTATCATGTTCCACAGGGACTACCTGGACACTTCTATAGAGGAAGCAGCCTTCACATTTAAAGAGATTATTAATGGCAGTGCTACCACATTACACTAGAACCCAGGCAGGGAGAAAACAACTTTTGCTATCTATCTGAGTGTACAGTATAGTCAGAATATACTCGGAGTCATTACTGGGGAACACCCTTGGCACAAGGGATGACGTGCTCTGGACTAAACTGCATATTAGTTCCTTGAAGGAAGTAACAGAATGTCAGTATCATAAATAGGGAGTACTACTACTTCTTTGGTAAGTTATGAAGTGTTCTATATAACACACAAGGAAAAACAAGTACTACTCATACCACTTTTATTTACATTGTATCTGTTACATTGTTTATTCAATATAGAAAAAAATAGGAATACATTCATAGTATTCTCTTTTAATTTGGTAAGTCCATGTTGTCAAATATTGACTATTTTTATATTGGGTGTCCTACCCAATTAAAAAAAAATAAGAGAGAATGGACCTAGCCAACAACTCTTATGGCATGTTATTGATACAACAGTAAAACCTATTTCTCTCTTTAATCCTAATTCCCAAAAGACAAGATAAAACTACTGATTACTCTACTGGCTCAGGAATAGGGTTTTAAAAGTACAAACAATTCATTCTTTCCCCCAAGGAAATGTTTAAGCTATACATATAAACACCCCAGTGACCAAGGAGAAAATATATTTATAAAAGCGTCATACAACAAAAAAACTCAAGAGATCAGTCCCACTGCAGTGGATACACATGTCCAAACTGAAGTGGGGCTCAAGTGTTAACATAATCAGGCTAGAGAAAAACCCACACTGAGAAATCAGACTTTCTTTTAAAATTTTTTACAAATAAGATCAATGATTATCTCTTTTGGACATAATACTTCATTAAATGGGTCAAACTTACAAATTAATACTACAAAATACAGTATTTTCCATTACTTTTAGTTGTGATGTACACTATGTACAGAAAGTTGCATATCTTAAGCTGAATACAGATGGACAGTGTTTTAAAAACCAGAATCTGGACTTATAAATAGTGCAGAAAACGCAAATGCCAAAAAAACGATGCCTCCTATGATTGTCACTGGAAAAAAGAAGAGAGAAGATGAGTGAGGTAGCATGTCTTCTTCCACTGGGACGTCATGCAAACAAAACCAAGTTTCTGTTTTTTCTACTCTCACTAACTACTCCTGAGAACGTCAGTGACAAAGTATTCCTGACTCACTCTTCCCTGATACCCAGACCTTTCTCTGGGCACTGCTTGGACAAAGACTTAAACCGTTGGCAAGCAGCAGGACTACAGGAGCTCATCTTTTTGAAAACTCAAGGATATTCCGGGGCAGGAGGATGGCTAAGCACACAGAGGTGCTGCTGCCAAGCCTGAGAGTCAATGCTCACAAGCCTCAGAACCCAAACTGCCTTTCAAAGTGAAAATGGGTCCCTTCATAAACACACTTCAGGCCAAACTTCACACTTACACATGCGTTCTTCACTGGCCTTTTCTTAGATAAATTTGTGATTGACTGATTTGTACACACGGGAAAAGAAGTCAGTTTGCAGTAACAGGGATGAATACACAGGCCTGGGTGATGAGCACAAAGACCAGGCCATCTCTGCAAGAGATGATCAAAGCTAGCACACCGTTTCTATTATCTGTGATCTTCAAGCACTAGAATATGTTTGCATTTTAATGAAAAAATGAGACCTTACCTGTTCTAACAGATATTTTCTGTGCTATCATCCTTCCTCCAATTACTGCCAATCCAGTGCATAAGCAGTGTCCCACTGTTCCACCCACTGCTACACCATAGGGATCCTGGAAGCAGACGCAGCTAGCGTTAATTTGTTAAGTTGGAGATGCTGTTTGAGAAACATCAGTATGAAGTAGAACTGAAAATGGGTCATGAACCACTTATCATAAACTCTTGTAAAAACCCAGATAACTCAGTAACTTTATGAAACAGGAAACAGCTGCTTCAAGGAATGTGTGTTGTATGATATTTTGTGTTTTGACAAATAAAGCTTGCCTTTCAGAGAAGCAGAGCAGCAGCCACCAGAGACTTCTTACCTCTACGAATCCTCAGACTGAATGGGTGCCGAGATCCTGTCTCTACCCGCCTTATATTCCTGTCTCCACCTCCCTAGTGCTGGGATTAAAGGCCTGAGATCCTAAATGCTGGGATCAAAGGTGTGAGCCACCACAGCACAGCTATTTCTCTTTTAGACTGGTTCAATCCTATGTAGCCTAGGGTGGCCTTGAACTCCTGATCTTCTTGCTTCCTCCTCCCAAGTGCTGGGAGACCACTTGCCTGGTCTCTATGGTTAACTAGTGACTAGCTCCACCCTCTGATCTCCAGGCAAGCTTTGTCAGAACACAAAATAACATATAACACATATGGACAGTACAAGGCTAGATGTGAATATAGAAATTCTGTATGGTACAGTATTGCTGTACTTCCTGGGAGCCAAAATCCTGCTCCATAACCCTTGTGCTTTTAGCTTGAGGTAGGGAATAAATACTACCAGAATGAACTGGAAGGTATCAAATTGGTGGAGCAGTGAAAGCTTTCCAGAACAGACAGACCAGAAGAGTAGGTAAGAACACCATGTATCTCTTGTGGAGGAGGAGAGTCAAGGAGGCCCCAGAGAGGAGTATGTCAGGAAGGGTGGGAGCAGGGATGGAGTATAGGGCTATAGGTTGGCACTTGACTCCTGTTTCAGAGGTCAAGGTTCAATCCCTAGCTACAAGGGATCCCTATGAAGTCTTAAGTCAGCCTTGTCTTGAGACAATGGCTAGTTTTAACACAAGTGGATTTCTGCTTTCAATGAAGACAAGGAACTAGAAGGGAGTAGGACCAAGGAGACATCACAACCCTGGTATGAAATAGTGCTGACTGGACTGGTAGACGAAGAAGAAAAGCAGATGAATGGGAAGGCACATGGGATGCTATGAAAGCAATCAGGTATGACAGCCAAAGACCCAAATAGCCATGGTATTACTGATGCGGTGGAAAAGGCCGGAGGCTCACTCAGTGGTTAGGAATACTTGTTCTCTTCTTGAGGACCAGAATTCCAACACCATGTCACGGGGCTCAGCACTGCCTGTAACTCCATTTCCAGGGAATTCAATACCCTCTTCTGGCTTCTAGCACCCACATACATGTGGCATACACAGATTCACATAAATAAAGTATGTTTTAAAAGGAGCAGAGGAATGAATTAAGGGTGCTGGCAAATTAAAAGTGGAGTATATTCGGTTGAAAGCTAGGCACAGAGCACACTTGTAATCTCAACATTCAGGAGGCTTAGGTAAGAGGATTGTCTGAGATTCAAAGCCAGCTTTGCTTAGCTAAAGCAAGTTCCAGCCCAACCTGAAGTACAGAATGAGAATTGCCTTTCAATAAAGGCCAAATTTGATAGTAAATAACACCATCTGAGGCAGCATGTCTAAAAACTCATAGGAAAAAAGCATGGACAAGTCGACCATGACATAATCAACAGGATGAAGACTGCCCGGTAGTTGGTCTCAACTAGTCTCAGCACTGGTGAACGTCTGTCATGTCTGTGATGAACAGAAAGGCAACCTAAGGGGAGTGGGTTTACTTGGGGTCACAGCTCAAGAGAACAGTTCATCGTGGTGGAGGCCATGAAAGCAGGAACGTGAGGCAGCTGGTCACTAGCATCCACAATCAGGAAGCAGTGGTGATGAATGCTTGTACAGTGCAGCTCACTTCCTCCTTATACTACTGTCCAGGGTCCTAGGCCAGGGAATGGTGCCTCCACCCATAAGTGGGATCTTCTACCCTAGTCTAGTCAACATAATTCCCATCTCAGCTGACTCTAAGATCTCAAGTTGATAACGGATTAACCATCCATCCCACCCTGTGAGGTCAGCAGCTGGGTGGTAGAGCTGTCCTCTTAACCAACCATAATCGTGCTCTTTGAACTATGGGAAGGTAGGAGGAGGAGAAGGGACAGAAGGACCAAGGAACGGGGCTGCATTTCCCCCCTAAAGACAGAGTGGAGGGAACAATGCAGAAAATACTCCGAAAACTGAGCTGGGAGAAAGGCAAAGATTTGCACTGTAAGGGAGGGTGCGACCTGGGGTCCAAGACTGCACTGTGCTTGGTGGGGATGAAGAGAGCTGAGCAACAGGTCAGCAGCCAGCTGCTGTGAGTGAAAAGGCAGCGTATATACAGTCAGCAATCAGAAGTGGCCTGAGCATGTGCAGGAGAAGGTACTACCACCAAACTGCCACCCCAGAAGATGACTACATTCCATCTGAAATTAAATCTTTTTAAATCAGTGGGTTAAATAAAGTTACTTTAACAAAGACTGAAAAAAATGCTGTTAACCTGTATTAGTGGACCCTTCAAAAGCAAAACAGCATGTTTTATACAAAGGAGGAGAGTAGTTTTAACACGCGAGTGCTCGAGTGGGGACTGCTAGACACCCCTATGCACTGCTGTATGCCATCTCCAGACAGAAATCCACGAAGTGGGTACCTGTGGTGCCGGCTGACACTGACAGAACCTCCCCCACCAGCTCATTCACAAGGCCAACTCTGGCATTTGAAGAGAAATGAAGACAGGATACAGCCATTAAGGGGCATTTTTAAAGTTTGTTTTAGGAGAATCAAATAGAGTTCCTTTTTTGTTTTTTCCATCTCCAAATAAAGCATCAGGCTTCCTTCCCTGTGATCTCAGTCCTGGCCTGAAAATGCTTTCTATTTTAAGCTAGAGGACTATGTTAAGGAACTTTTGTTTGTTTTGTTTTGTTTTGAGACAGGGTTGTGTTACAGCTCAGGCTGTCCTGGAATTCTCTTTGTAGACCAGGCTGGCCTTGAACTCACCGAGATCCACCTGCCTCTGCCTCTGCCTCTGCTGGGATTAAAGGTGAGTGCCGCCACCACCACCCTAGGAACTTGATCTTTTATGACAGACATTTCCAAGGATTTAAAAATGTTTCAGTGTCAAACAGTGTAACTGATAAAGTTACCATCAAGAACATGCAGCTCCTCAGGACATCAGCATCTGTGAACAGAAACTGACACCTCACAGGAGATGACATTAAACACCCTCCCCATTCCCCAGTAGCAAACCAGTAGGTATCTTTTGAATATATGTACCCAAGGGCAAGACAGAAGACAGGCTCACTTCTGGTGCCACCTCGAGTCACCCCCCCTCTCTGAGCCTTGGGTTCTTAACTGTTCAGTAAGGGTTGGGAGGCATCTTCTGACTTACACATTCTAGCGCTGAGGTGGAACAGGAATGCTCTACAGAACAGGCCCTGGGCATCCCAAGATGAGCACTGTAAGCATTCTGATGTGCTTAGATACTATTAGTTTCTTCTCTCTTTTAGAAGGAACCCTCCTTGGGTCAGTGAGAACTCACAGGCAAAGGTGCTTCAGAAAATTTCTCTGAGTCATTAAAGTGATGTTGCAAAATGAGTAATCAGAGCTGCTCAGAAATTTATGAATAAGTGAACAAGTTCCCCTCTGTTACACCGATTTTTACTATTAAGTTTTTTGTTTGGTTTTAGGATGGTCTCAGTATGTAGCCCAGGCTGACACTGAATTCAAGATCATCACTGCCAGGACTCCCCACTGCTGGGGTTACCAGCAAAGTGATATACTAGTTTATATCCTCAGTAAGCATACAGAGAAGTCATGAGAAGAAAGCCAAGCAACAAAGACACCAGCCACAGCTTTATTTTGGCAAAACATGGGAAAAGGACCCAGCAAGATAAAAAGAAAAGACAAATTAAATTTGGGCCCAGGAACTACAGACATGGAGAAAAACCCAGAGGCTAATCCAGGTCATAAAGTGAGCAGAAGTGTCAAACTTTCAGCATAGGTAGTCACCCTGTGGTCCGCTCCCCCACTGGTGTGGAGCAATGGGAACTGCAGTCTTGATACAGAAACAAACACCACTCACCTCTCTAGCTGCCAGAACAATAGTAGTGAGCTGAGAGCGATCGCCCCATTCCGCCAAGAATGTTAACGTGAGCGCTTGAACAAAAATGGGTGAAATAAAATGCAACCACTTTTTCTGAGGTATTGTTGTGCTTGTACCAGTTTCAACATCTGGTCCATTTAAGAGTTTGGTTCGTTGGAACTGAAACAAGTAAAAATTACCATTAACCCCAATACGTATATCAAAATATCACAGAGTCACTCAGTCCCTTTAATGCATTTAAATTGTGTGTCATATTCATCAAAGAAAATACACTTCTGCATCCTTCGACTGACTGCCTGCAGCCACCGGCCTCATATAGTATCAGCTTTCCCCCTGCAACAAGACCAAACAGTATGCAGACGCTTAAGAAAGAGGTAGAACTAACAGTTCCAGGATTCAGACACTCCACCAGCCAAAGAGGCTGACTATTTGGTAAACAGTTCCCTCCCTGCCACAAGCACAGTAACCCCAAAGCCTATCAGAGCCAAGCTGTAAGAGCAGAAACTAATCAGGCTAACTCATGGCATGTACCAGTGACAACTCACTTCTTCGTCCTTCTTCTTCAACTCTGCTTGAACTTCTTCCAGCTCCTCCTGACCCTCATCTGGGCTCATCTTCAAACCTTCCCGAAGCATTCTGATGCCAAAAATGGCAAAGAGTGCAGTTGAAACATAGTAGGTATACACCCTGGGGATGACTGTTGTGGCATAGCCAAACAAAACTGTAAGGAAATGCCAAGAGTGTTAACAGGTGTTTTCCACAACGTGCCAAAGAAACAGTAACTCAAGAAATTGTAATTTACTTTGTTGAAGGAAAAATGGTTCACATTAGACACATCAAATATGTAATGACCTGCAATACCCTGCAATGCTTCTTGCTTTCCAGAACTGAACCTTTAGAATGGCAGAGCTCACCGGCTTTCCAAGACAAGCATGGCCTTATTACCAGGGCGCCCACATCTGCCACTGGCCCTTTCAGACATGGCCCTCTTCCCCAGTCATGTTCACCTAGGGCCGCCTTCCCACTGACATCTGTGTAGGCACAATACTTGAGCCAGGTTGACTGTGATGTCCTCTAAGAATTTCAAGACTTTATAAACTGGAAACCACATTCCATTCTATAAGTTTCTTTGTCATAGATCTTTCAAAGATCAAGAATCATGACAATTCTCTTACAGCACAATTCACACTGTTCCTTTTTAACTATGTAAATTTAGCATATCTTATGAAATACTAAAAATTCTTTATTAGGTATCTGTAGACATACCAATATGGCATATATTTTCTATCTCTTGTCTACTGAAAGGGCCAAGAAATAGACATTTCAGTAACAAAGAGCATTCTTGGGGACTTCTGAGATGGGTCTGAGCAAGCACAGGATGTACCTGTGGTATCTTATGACTAGAAGGTAAGGAAGAGCAAGAACCTGCCACACAGACAATCCCTGGAGAAAGCGTATGTGCGTAGGAGTGAGAAAGGAGTGTGCAAGGCTAGATTTCACTCATGTAGAGCAGAAGCCAAGATAGGAAGAGGAAAGCATCGAGAGAAAATACACAAGAATTACACTAGATCTCTGGGGAAATGCTGGTAAAGAACAGGTACTCATTGTGTTACAGTGTGTCTCATAGGTTGGATATTAGCTGCAAGAGAAGACTAGGGAAGAAAATCCTCAACTGGGCAAGCCAAACTACAATGTCAATGAGGAAAAGAATGGATGCCTCGTGCTCCCATAAGATACTCTTCTGAGGACACGACACCAGTGCAGCTTCTGGCCAAGATGTAACTTGAGTTTAACCATGTGGAAACATCCCACACAAGGAAAAACCGTGGGGTACAGGAGAGGGCATGACATTATTCTCTAAAACCTGTTGATAACATAAAACATAATAAAAGTCTAGGTAGTATTTCAAATTAAAAACAGCAGCTAAATCAAACACCTGATCTTGCCTAGACATTGTACAGGTGCAAACAGGTGTCACAAAGGACAAAAGTAAGTAAAGAAGGAAAGAAGTATGGTAGATTAAAGTAGTGTGCACCCAAGAGTGGGCTCTGCACCCCATATGACAGGCAGCTGACCCTGGTGTTGGGGACACCAGTGGTTGGAGCCAGCCCTAGGGGCACTAGAGTGGGAGAGCTGCCCCCCACCCCTAGGCCCCCGACAGCAGTGGGGAGAGAGGGCCCTGCACCTCACCTGGGCAAAACAGTAGAGCTGGCCCTGGCAGTGTGGGTGAGAAGGACCTGGATCTGAGGGTCCCAGAGTGGGAGAACTGGCCCTGCTCCTTGCTGCACGCTGCACTGGGTGATGAGCTGAGGCGGTGCTGGAGAGATCGTCTGGGACCAGGCTGACCAACCCAGCTATCGCCCAGGCCCAGGGCTGAGTTGGCCCACCCCAACATCCAACTCATCTATGAACTGTTGGAGCATGTGAAGGGGACAAACCTACAGATCCAAAACTGCAGGACCTCCATGACACAGGACCACAGGATCCACAAGGAGCCCCAGTGAGAACCCAGTATTGATCGGTGATGTAACAGAAGCCAGAGGCCTTGAGCAATGACTCATGGCAAAGAACATTTGCAAGTAAAGATGAATGGACTAAAGGGTGAACTTGTGGGACTCAACGGGCCGCACTACAGCTTCACAAGATTCTTCTGTTTGTGTTTTGTTTCTTTGTTTTGTTTGGTTTTGGGTTTTCCTTTTAAATTTGGTTTTTGGGAAGAGGTTGCAAAGGCAGAGGGAACAGGGAAGTAAGTGGGATCGGAATGCATGATGTGAAATCCACAAAGAATCAAGAAAAGTTTAAAAAAAGTACTCTTGTGTGTGTAGTGTGTGTAAATAAATACACATTATTTGCCTACAGATACAGAAATTATCCAAACATACTCAGATTATTTACACAGATTGGACACAAATGCTAAAGCAATAGGGTAAGATATTAACAGTAGGTGCATCTGAGCAAGAAAAGCACATCAGTATTCACTATCCCCTCTTACTTGTGCAGCTTTACAAATTTAAAATCACTTCAGTAACAATCTCGGGAGGTGGCTCCCTGGGTGAAGCATTTACTGCGCACGCATGAGGACCTGAGTCTGAGTCCGGGGAAACCACAGACAACTGGACACAGCAGCACACATCTGGATCTTAGTGCTCATATAAAACTGGACACAGCAGCACACATCTGGATCTTAGTGCTCACATAAAACTGGACACAGCAGCACACATCTGGATCTTAATGCTCACATGGGGCAAGGAGGAATGCGAGTCAGAAGCAGGAGAATCTCCAGAAGCTCATACATACACAGCTGTGAACATGAGACCCTGTCAAGACAGAAGGTGAGGACCAACACCACCCTAGATTGTCCCCTTACCTCCACACATGCACTATGTAGATACCCACACTTACACAAGCACACACATACAAGATAGAAAAAGAAAAACTACTTCTGTAAAAAAAATAGTAAGTGTTGAAATAAAACGTGGAAAACCTTTTGAAATCTCCCAAACTTAAATTAATTCTTCTTTTCTCTTCAGCTACAACATTCTCAATTCCTGTGAGTTCCCGAAGACCCAGACACGTCTAAGAAACCCCATTACACTGTCTTCTGGAGGCCCAGACCTCAGAAGCACCGTCCCACAACATAATCTGTGCTTTTGGCTCCTGCCCTCAGGTCTCCTCTGCGTCACCACCTTGTCCTCTGGGGCCAGCAGTCAAGTGTAACAGCAGTTTAAGAAAAGCTGTGTTACCACACCGGAAGGTCTGAAGCTCAGGGCGACTACTGCATAAGGGGAGAGCATAGACTGTGGGTCCCCGCTGGACAAGGATCATGGGTCCAGGGAGGGATGAGAGGGATTTCACCACACTAGGGTCAGTGTGGTACAAACTTGTGAACTGTGTTTCCCTGGAGCGTTCCTTCCATGTAACACTATGCACACGTGGCTGCAGAGAGCTGGTCCGGCACACGTGAGGGCTCGGGGAGGGAGCACTGTGGCAGCCCCCCTCTTCGCTGGCATCTCAACGGGAGCAGCCCCCAATGGTGTTTGTCACGCCTGGCTTTCCTCCCTCCTTCGCTTTTCCTTTGGTTTCTCTTTTAAAACCTTTCTAAGCAGGACGATGGTGGTGAACATCTTTGATCCCAGCACTGGAGGGAGGGGTAGAGGGGACAGAGGCCGGCTCATCTCTGTGTTCGAGGACAGCTAAGAAACCCTGTCTTAAACGGCCAAAACGTAAACAAACAAACAAGCAAAGAAACCATTCCTGGCACTCAAACACTTCAGTGGCAACAATTTATCAAGTTCATATTTCAGTTTCCTACACCACTGCTAAATATAAGAGTTAAGGTACTTATACTTCTGTACACAAGACTACCATGTATAAAAACAGTACTGTGATACAATTCAGAAAAACTTTTCTTGGTGTACCTGATGGTTAACAAATGTAACATAAAAACCTTCCTGAGCTAGCTATCACTTGATAAATCATTCAAAGTAATTTTTCATCATATGATTTGTAACACTCAGGAGTTCTTAACTACTGAGTAGTAGCATGGCTCTAACAAAAATTCTTTAAGATTTATTTATGTGAATACAATTTCTCTGCTATCAAAAAACTTTTTAAGAATTCAGTTTTATCTTACTTGACTCTAACAATAGATATTCATCCACAAACTAATGGGACCAAGTTCTCATTGTTTAAATATGATTAAGTTTGTGATATAGTTACTTTAACTATATACTAATAATCCATAAAATCCATAAAATTAAGCCGGGCGGTGGTGGCGCACGCCTTTAACCCCAGCACTCGGGAGGCAGAGCCAGGCGGATCTCTGTGAGTTCGAGGCCAGCCTGGGCTACCAAGTGAGTCCCAGGAAAGGCGCAAAGCTACACAGAGAAACCCTGTCTCGAGGAAAAAAAAAAAAAAATTAAATGTTTAAAGACTTAATAACAAAAGGAACCTTCAAAAACCTTTAAAATCCAGCATCATATGGGTCCTTTTCTTACAGGAAGATAAACAAGTATGATCCATATAAGGCTTTCAAACAGTTATTATAGTAGAGCTCACTGAGGAAAACAATACAGGAAAACACAAGTCCCACAGACTTCCAGCTGCTCACATATGTCCTCAAAGGGACAACTGTGACAGCACACAGGAAACCGATAGGATTTAAGATCCCACTGGGCAGATCTTTGTAGTTATCTATCTATCTATCTATCTATCTATCTATCTATCTATCTATCTATCTATTTATCTATTTGATGAGTGAACGTTCGGCCTGTTTGCATGCCTGACACCTGATGTGGTCAGAAGGGAGCACCTGATGGATGCCCTGAACTTGTTATGAGGAGGTGCTGGAGGTGCTGGGAGCCAAACCTGGGTCTCCGCAAGGGCAGCAAGAGCTCTCAACTGCTCAACTATCTCTCCAGCCTCAGATTTTATTATTTTACTGTTTTTATATTTTTAATCTTTGTTTGAAGTTTTTGGTGTGTATATATAGGAGTATGAAGGTGTTAGCACGTGGAGGCCACAGGAAGACATAGGGGGTCTCTCACCGACCTGGCACTCAACAGTTTCCGTTGTCCAGTGAGTACCACTGTCTCCACTCCATAAAGCTGGGGTTACAGGCACAGGCGGGCAGACGTACCTGGCTTTATGTGGGTGCTAGGAGTTAAACTTCGGTCCTCATGGCACACAGCCCACTGTGCACTCGCCCGCTGAGCCAGCTCTCCAGCCCTGCACTGGGCATGCTTTACAATACCGTTACTAGTGTGCTGTATACAATATACGGGAAATGAGGTCTCTGCAACTCCTCAAATTTAAGTTTAAAAAAACGAATGTATTTTAGGTAGCATCAGATGAAGTGCAAAACGATGTTTAGGTCCCGCCAGGGAGATCAGAGGCACCAGGCAGCCCCGCAGATGGCAGTGGGGTGAGAGAGGCTTCGGAGGACGACAGCCAGCAGAGCAGAGGGAGAGCATGAAGCGCACGAAGAGCTGGGCGGACGGACGACAACGGCCTTCTGCAGCACACAGCGTAGTGTCTAGAGATGCAGCAGGGACACTGCTGGATCAGCACTGCACAGCTGATGCGTTCAGACGCTCGCCCCAAGTGCGGGCGGGCTCCAGTTTCCGCTCTCCATTTCCTGCAGTCACTGCTACTTCTTAGACCATGCCAACAGAGGGGTGTGTGTGTGTGTGTGTGTGTGTGTGTGTGTGTGTGTGTGTGTGTGTGTGTGCGCGCGCGCGTGCGCGCACATTCTATTAGAGAAAGAGCATCACAGTCACCCTTAACTCCCCCAAGGCCCACTCCCACCCTCTCTACACACCAAACTTCGTGTCTTCTTTCTTTAAGTTAAAGAACTAATCAAGACCATATATTCCTGGGTACTGGAGAATGGTTGACCTACCAGGGCCACACTCTTAAACAAAACTGACTCTGCCTCCCCGAGAAGCCATGAGCTGCCCACAGTTCGGGTTTACACAGCTCCAGCGCTGACAGGCTTGGCCTTGTACAGAGCCCGGCTGCTGTGAGTCCATGCATGCAGGGCTCTGTCATGTCCACTCTGTTCCTCCCTGACCTCAGGCTCTTACAACCTTTAACCCCCTCTTCTGTGACACATTACTTCTGAAGAGAAAACCTGTTGCTACTATAAAATATTAATACCCACACTAATTTTCAAATTGTAACTAGTATTCAAATCATTCTAAATATCTAAAATACTCACTTTATAAAATCACAAGCTTTAAGCATCAAGGCACCAGAGAATCAGAAACAGACCTTGTTCTACATTTAAGAAATTGGTTTCATAATGGTAAGAGGCAAATGGCAAAGCCCTCCTAATAAATTATCTTATCACTATAGAACAGAAACCATAAGGTAGGCAAAAACTATTATCTACACTTTACAGAGAGCAAGCTAAAATTCAGAGGTCAGTTAACTTAATTCCCTATGGGATGCCACGGGAAGTCAGTCTCAAACGCAACTGGGGCTCAAAGGGAAATACCATCTTCTAACACACTGTGGTGGCCTGAGGTAGCTCTCAAGTAGCAACAAATAATGCTCAGTTATTTGAGTGTTCAACGGACTTTTTTGTGGTCCAACATCTTAAAATTAGAGCCCATAAAGCCATAAGTTGAAAAGTAACATGAGCAGGAAGCCTAAAGAATGCTTCACTCCACATAAGCAGGGCAAGAAAAAGCTTAATAAAAAGAAATGCAGGCTGCTTCTCAGAGCTACACCCAGTGAGCCTCAGGAGAAAACACGCAGTTTGCTGTGGCCTCCTGAACCCCACTTCTGAAACTGCAAATACAAATGAGCTTATCTGGACTGAAGATGAAGAAAAAAATTGGACTAGACTAAAATGAAGAAAGAACAAAGGCTGGAGATGGCTCAGTGGTTAGGGTGCTCGTTGCTCTCGCGGGTGCAGGTTCGGTTCCTCACACCCACATGATGGCTCGCAAGCATCTGATACCTCTTTCTGAACTCTGCACTGCCAGGCACACGCATGGTGCAAGACACATGCAGGCAAGACACTCGTACACACAGAATACATCAATCTAAAACATAAATGAAAATTAAGGCTACAAACACCAGTGAATCAATGACAGGAGTATGTAGCGTGGCTACAAAATTCCACTGAAGAAGTAAATCTGGGTTTTAACAGTGTATATACTGAAACCATTTGCTGTTTACTGAAGTCTGGGAATAAGCAGACTCCAGTGTAACTGGTGGATGATTCAAGACACACATATGCTTTCCCTCAACTCATCATGTTCCCTGGGAAAGCACCCTTACCCGACAAGCATGTCATCAGGGCCAAGGCAAGCATGGCACCAGCCAGCACAGTCAGCCGGTTATAACGCATCGCCATGATGGCCGCTATGAAAAATGTCTTGTCACCGAGTTCAGACACTATGATGACTGATATGGCAGCGACAAATGCATGGATAAATCCCAGATTCGTCTGGGTAGCTGCATCTTCTCTGTTGGTGTGAACTGGGGCGGCTGGTGTAATTCCTTTCTGAAAATTAAAAAAAAAACAAAAAAATTTTAAGTCATTTAATTGATATTCTTTTAAGTGAGAAGAGTTATTTTTTGTCATACTCATTCCACTGATTTATTGCTTTAAAATCTGAATGCCATTAGAAATAACAGTAGCCCATAATTCAGCTCTCTATACAAGCAATTCAGTCTAGACACTATAATTACCTTATTTTCTAAGTATGTGGTAGAGTCGATTCATTGCTGTCTCATTCGAGTTTTCACTAGTAATTTGGGTGAAGACTCAGGTGTGTTTATCAAACATTCATTGACATGAAGCTGGTAAGACATGTCACTGACACTGTGAAGGACTAACTGGATCCAGGAGGTTCTCAGGCTACAGCCAGAGTTGGCTGACTCTGGCTGTAGCTAAGACAGGGTTTAATAGAGCTGGCTGTGCAGATGGTCCTGTGATGAACTCTAAAAATATCCTGACGGTTAGCTGATAAAGAGGCGAAGCAGTCTCAGTGAATAATAACATGAAAATATGACAAAACTTCATTGACCTTCCCCAAAGTTGGCTAGAAAGTTCCAAAGCCCTGCCCTTTAAGAAGGTACTGACCTCTGAAGGTCATGAGAAATGAACAGATTCTAAAACCAGGGCTTCACAAGCTAGTAGAGGCAAACCCAGCGTGTTTACAATTCTAAGAGAGTATAAAAAATGAAGGGGGGAGGTGGGAGGGAGGGAGGGAGGAAAAAAGGAAGGAGAGTGAAAAAAGGAAAACTATAAAGGAAGATTACACAGCGGAGATTTTACGTGGCCAGCAAAGATGTGGCCTGTGCAATCTAACGTATTTAGTTCCTGGCTCATTAGAAAAGGAAGTTGACTGGGCAACTCAGGTTAATCAGATGAAACACCAGAAGGTCGGTGCGCCTAGGTTTCAGTAATTGGGAACGTTATTATGTGGCTCTATCTACACTCTATGGAACATTCTCAATTCTTACTGTGTACACGACCACTCAGTACATGACATAAACGTGACTTAATACTACAGGGCATATCCGAACTGTAAGAATGACCTGGTCTAGCGTAGACCTCCGAGCTAAAACAAGGGAACTCTGTATCCTGGCAGCCAGCTCTTAATTAAGCAAGTACCGTTTTAAAGGCTCTCTCCCCGTCAGCACTTTAACTCTATCTATGCTGGTATTCCTTTAAAACAAGCTTAGACCTGGTCCAATAGCATTCCAGAAGACATAGGCACTTCAACTAGGACATCCTAAACACAGTATTTTCCTGCTGGAACCTCACCCCTCCTCCCCACATTACCCTCTTTCTGTATGAGACAGGGTCTGGCCATCGTGCAAGGCTGGCCTGGGAGTCACCAGCCTGTTGCATCATCCTCGTAAGTCCTGGGGTTGATTACAAGCATCAACTATCACACACAGCTGAACTGTTTCTATGGAAAGACTTCACAAAATTTCAGCATCTTAAGTCCAAGAAAAATTTCAGGAGTAAATATATAGCACTTAATATCACTAGGCTCCAAAGCTCAAAAGAGAAAATTTTACATTTTAAATCAAATCACAGGAGAGAGAAATGCTTCATATTTTTTGTGGTTTTCTAAGCCTTAAGTCCTTGGCCAAGTTATTAATCTGTTCTCTATGGAGTCAAGAATCAAGTTTGCCTGAAGAATACAATAAAGGGAAGGAGCTGGAGAGATGGCTCAGTGCTCTTCAAGAGGACTCAAATTCAGTCCTCAGCATCCACACAAGGCATCTCATAACCACTTGTACCTCCAACTCTACGGGATTAGACCCTCTCTTCTGGCTTCCACAGGCACGAATGTGGCATACATTCTCACACACACACACACACACACACACAGATGCACAAAAAATAACAAATGAAAAAATAAAAAAGGAAACAAAGTAAAACACAATCCTCCATATTCTCAAAACTTTTCTACATAGAAGACTAAAAGGCATTAAAACTACAAGTTTATTAAGCCAGTCTGGGATGGCCAAAAATGAAGTATCAGGCTGATGTGAAGACAAAGATTTTTAAAAATCAAGTATCACAGATGTCCCATTTGGGGCTGGGCTACCCACAATCACTTATTCTCTGTATTCTGACCAGTTCAGGTATCTGTAGTGTGGGAGTGGGTTGAGGGGGCGGGGATGGTGTTCCATGGTAGCTTTCAATCTACCTCAGGTTTTTATCTTATATTCTGTTCTATAGTTTTAAAATAAAAACTTAAAAGAAGTCAGTAACACCTGGTGCCAAATCTAGGGACTACTATATTGCCACTAATCTCATACCCCTCGAATTTATCTTGACTCTTTAAAACTATTTTTAAGGTACAAGTACTTTCTCAAAATTTAAACTTTCTGTTTTGACATTAATGATATTATAAAGCACTAACTAATTCTAACCTTAGGTTTCAATTCATGTAACTTCTGTACATGATTTCAGGCTTAAGTTTAAACAGATATTTAGGAATTAAGCTTGGATATCCCAGATGTATTTTAGAGATCCTGGTCCTTTAACTTCCTTAGGATTTACAGCATATGACATGTAAATATGTTTAGGTTTTCTGCAGTGAACGTTAAACATTCCTAACATCGATCTCTGAGGTCTCCAAAAGGATGCTGACGATGGGCCCCACAAGGACCATTCTACCTGGATTGTGGTAATGCCACTGATCGATAAACACCACCCAAAGATCAGCTTTGGGCCACAAACTGCTCAGGATAATTCCAAGGTGGCTAACTGAGATGCACTACTCCTAAATGATACAGCTAGCTCTCTCAGGACTAGACCATTATTTCAGTTTTTTTTCAGGGTCCACTAGAGATGCCAATGCCCTCCCCCTCCCCCCCGCCCAGACAGCAGGAAGTAATTTTAAGAACATGACGTCCACATTCCCAATGGTGGAGATGGATAGGTTTTGGTCTTTCACTGGGTTATGGATACTTGTCATCGTGTAAGAGGAGTTGTTTACAAGTTGTTATTGGATATGGTCAAAAGGGGGGGTAGATATGATAATTAAATCTACTTTCAAACTAAAAAAAAGCAACTAATAGTCTTAAATATTTTACATTGGTATGGATTTTTGTATATTGATACAAATTTAAGGTTATTTTGTTATTCTGTATATATGTTTCTACTTCTGTTTAAGATATTTTTGTATGTTGATACAAGTTTAAGGTTATTGTCCTTATACTGTACCTCTGCTTCTATTTTTGCTCCAGGTATTACATATATAGCTTGTATCCATACAGCTTGTCGAATTACGCAATGTAAAGTTTTAGTCCTTAAAAGCTTTCCAGGATAATGAAGAAATATAGGCTAAAAGTCACCCATATCTATCAAACTTACTGCCATGTTAATTAGGTTTTCTAGGTATACAGAGATATAGTTCAGATAGATAGGTAATCTTCAGATACTTCAAAGACTTACAGAATATGGCCACTTAAAGACATGTCTGCTCCTGGCGGCACTGATCTACTTCTAAAGATAGGTATCGAAGAAACTCCATATGGAGTTTGCTTTCTTTGTGGCAAAAGCTAGCCATTAGGGCAAGAAACTGGCCTTGCCTCAACTGCTGACAGTATGCTGTCCAAATTGGACAAGCAGGACACAAAGAAAGGCAACTGCCAAACTTTGCCAAGACAGGGTAGGACAGTCCTTCAAATTTTCCTGCTTCTGAAAAAAATCTGTCAGATATTCTAGGCCTGTAGGCCAAAGATGGATGCCCCAACATTGCAGAGGAACCTTGGATGGCTGTCCAGGCACCAGCTGTTTCTGTTATTTCTCACGTTTTTTGAAAGTCGCTTGCTTGCACTTCCTGCCTACTCAGGTAATATTATTTCCTTCTCAGGTCTTTGATAGAGTTGAAGGCTAGACAGTTATAGTTCTCCCAAATCTTGGCAAAAGTTATGTTAGGAACAAAACTTTGGACTCTTAAGGAGAGACAGATAATGGAATAATCTCTATAAATTTGCCAATTACTTATGGACTGGACATTGAGAATGTATTTCTTACTTGATAATTGTTCTTGTTGTATGCAGTGTCATTTTTGTTAAGGTTATTACCTTTCCTTTCTATTTGGACAATACTTGATAATAACTCTTATTGTACATAGTTTTACTATGCAAGAGTTAGAACCCTTCCCTTTTTATTAGACAAAAGGGGGGAAAATGTTGCGGAGTTTCTGTTTATGTTGCTGGTCCACTGCTCAACTGAAAAGAGGTGGAGTTTCCAGTCAACTGTCTGGAATGGACCAATGAGTCTTAAAGGGTCTAGAAGAGAAAGAGTGGCCCGAGGGGAAGAGGTGGGGCCGGGAAGCCATGCAGCCTTCTTCAAGCCAGGAAATGGCAGTGGCAGGATTTTTCTGCAGTAGCTTTCAACCCATCTCAGGCTTTTATCTTATATTCTGTTCTTTAGTTTTAAAATAAAAACTTAAAAGAAATCAGTAACCAACTGTAAAGAGCGTCTTATGCCTAGAACACAACATGCAAACCTTTATCTGTGTCTACTCCGTATTCCCCATCTAATCACACCAGTTCCCAAAACAAACCTTTCTCCCGAAGAAGCCACAATAGCAGCACTAAATGCAAAACACCACAAGCTGAAAACTTAGCCTCATAATGTATTTTTATATTTTCTAGTTTAAATTACCCATTTTACAAAGTAAAAACAGGTAAGACTATTTGAGAGATCAATTTAACCCAATCCATCCAAACCACCATTAACTTATAAGCAATGTTTTTTAAATTGCCATGAAGGATTCTAACATTGTTTTTCATACTACTTTTAAAGTGGTAGGTTATATGCTGATCCCTCCCCTCAGGGCTCAGTCATGGGCAGTGCAGTTTGAGAGCTCATCGGGCTGCTGCTGACCACACCCTCAGTCAATCAGACTTCCTTCCCCAGTGCCTTCATTTTGCCCCATTCGTCCAGGCTCCTCAAACCCAGCTCAAAGAGAACGCCATAAGCAAGGTTTATCTGGCCCAGCCCTTTGCATCCCAGGCCCCTGA